CCTTTGGTCTTCTGAGGATGAGTTCTTTGAACTGCTTGTTAAACAGCATAAAGTGCGACCAACCGCTTGACAACACAATGCCCAAGTAATGCACAAATACTTCCTCCGTCAGCAATCCCCCTGAAACCACAAAAGCAGGCAACCATACTAAGCCCTAAAACCCAATGAACAAAGGAATCTGAAAGCTAAAATAGTTGCGGGGGCAGAGGCTGTCTCGTGTTTCTTCTGTGCAGTACGCAGATACCCTCTGTAGCAGAGTGCACTGCAGCTGTAGACAAGGCAAGAAAATATAATTTAAAATTTTGCAATAAATAACGCACCAGGTACAGTTGCTGCCACGCGTTCTGCTTCTTTTCGGACTCCATTAGTGAGAAGCACATGTCTGTAGGTATAGCGGTCATCGTTGTATCTCGGGGAGTAGTAAACATCGCCTGTGAACAATGATAACCACGCAAAAGCAATTCAATGTTATTTTTTTAAAGGAGAAAATAATTCTTCAAAATAAAAGAAACACTTTTTTTCGATGCAAGTTGTGAAAGCGGCGCGCATTTTTACGCATCTTTCTGCCTGCTTTCCCTCCATTCATGAATGCGTAATCTGAACAGGATAACAAGCCGCCCTATGGAGAAGCAGCAACAACGACCTACCAAATGGAGTATTTTTCCAAGGATAACTTCTGATATCGACATTAATGAGCTCGCAGTTAATCTCCTTGCTGAGGTACTCATCAACAGGAAGGAAAACCGGCTTGTATTCCCTGTGCAGCTTCTCCTCCTTCGCAGCACATAGCTTCTCCATTCTCCTCATTTCATCAACATGTTCTTTAGTGATAACATACCCCAAACTGCCGGGAGGCGCTGGCGATATCGGCGAAGGAATTGAATCTAAGAAGCTACGAGGGCAGTCGGACATCAGCGAACGCCCAGAGTGGTGGTGGCCAACGCGCTGTGAAGCAGCTTCCATTGCTACAACAGAGAGACTCCATTAGTGAGAAGCACATGTCTGTAGGTATAGCGGTCATCGTTGTATCTCGGGGAGTAGTAAACATCGCCTGTGAACAATGATAACCACGCAAAAGCAATTCAATGTTATTTTTTTAAAGGAGAAAATAATTCTTCAAAATAAAAGAAACACTTTTTTTCGATGCAAGTTGTGAAAGCGGCGCGCATTTTTACGCATCTTTCTGCCTGCTTTCCCTCCATTCATGAATGCGTAATCTGAACAGGATAACAACGGCGGGAATGGAGAAGCAGCAACAACGACCTACCAAATGGAGTATTTTTCCAAGGATAACTTCTGATATCGACATTAATGAGCTCGCAGTTAATCTCCTTGCTGAGGTACTCATCAACAGGAAGGAAAACCGGCTTGTATTCCCTGTGCAGCTTCTCCTCCTTCGCAGCACATAGCTTCTCCATTCTCCTCATTTCATCAACATGTTCTTTAGTGATAACATACCCCAAACTGCCGGGAGGCGCTGGCGATATCGGCGAAGGAATTGAATCTAAGAAGCTACGAGGGCAGTCGGACATCAGCGAACGCCCAGAGTGGTGGTGGCCAACGCGCTGTGAAGCAGCTTCCATTGCTACAAC